TGTTTTAATCGATTAAGAGCCTTGTTAATCGATTAACTGGCCTGTTAATCGATTAACAGGTGTGTTAATCGATTATTACAGTGAACAGATACAGAAAATGGTTTTTATCACTGTAATAATCGATTATCTGATGATTTAATCGATTAAACCCGAGACTTTCTGATAAATATGAGTTTTTGAAGCTTCTAAAGAGTAGATTATGTATCGACTATCTTAGACTCTAATATTACAGACTCAAACTCATCAAAACAGAGTTATTACATAACAATACAAGTCTTCAACACTCTAAGTTCTTTGTTCTTGAATCATCATCAAAATTAACAAGCTTCATGTCATGTAAGTTCAACATCAAGTCCTTGTATGTTCAACAATAAGGATAAAAATAATCGAGTACTTAGGATGAACAAGAAGAACAGGAGAGAAAAGGTTGTGTTTCGATAAAGAGAATATTTTCTGTGAGAGTGAAACTTTTTTAATTCTCTTTTTAAAATTTTTAACTTTATATATTATCTTTATAATTAATTTTATTATAATAAAAAATTATTTTTGTATTAATTAGGCGGGCCACGGCTGGCCCACCTCGTCCCGCGAGTTGGCCCGACGGGTTGATCGGCTTGATAGGGCGAGCCAAAGTGGGTCAGTGGGCTAAAAACACCAACCCGCCCACCATATTATGACGAGTTGGCCGCAGGGCCTAACCTGTTTTGCCATCTCTACCAATACGTAACATTACTTCTCATATATGATTTTATATTGTTACAAGAAGTTTAAGAAAACTATTTTTTTATGCTTTAAAATATTAGATAAAATATGAGGTTTTGTAAAATTATATTATTTTTTATTATTTTAGTATACACATAGAACCTTTTATTTAAATACTTTTACTTCAATTAATTGTGCTTTCATTACATTATGAAGAGAGAGAGAGAAAGAATATTAAAATAGAACAACAATATATTAACAGTCCTATTTTCTTTTACATTCATTCTGTAACCTCATTCTAACATTATAATAATAATAATAATAATAATAATAATAATAATAATAATAATAATAATAATAATAATAATAATAAAATAATTTTAATTAATATTATTATATTAATAAAATGTATTGATTGTTTTTTCACATAAGAGTGTATATTTTCCTATCAAAATAGGATATAAATGAATGGTCACTCTCAAATTGAATGTGTTTTGTTTGCTTATAGATGAGAATGGAGGTTGTAAAAAAGCTTAAGCAGGGGTGGTGTGGAAGGTGAGTCGGAGATAATATAGGGCAAGAAGCTGGACGAGCTTGAGCATGGAACCTACATGGAAAGCCAAAAAAGGAAATATGAGCTGTGTATCTTTTCAACAAAAGAGAAGCATGGAGATGCATGGACCAGTCCAGTTTTACAATGGACAAACCTAACCATGCATATACAATTCCATTCATAACCAACACGTGAATTCGGGGGACCCTTCCAAACTCCCTAAATTTCTCATATAAACTGCACAAACGTCATGCATATCTGATACTGAAACTCATATATCTCATACTTGGGTGCATCTGCGGGTGACACATTAGGTTACAAACAGTGCATGGAACTGAACGAGTATTACAGTAAGATTGTTTACATACTTAGTGTTGTTTTGAGATGAAGACATTGTTTACAAAAGGATGAGAGCATATGCACATCGTTCAACAGATGAAGATCTTCATTATGATAAACTACCTATTAGCAAGAATTGTATTAGGTTGTAATTGTTAATGCTTTTTTGTTTGAATATTGTTAGATCCATGCATTAGATCTGGTATTTTTACATAGTCATTTTAATGCATATATCTATTTTATATTAGAAATGCTTTGAAATGCAGTGGTAAATGGTTATTTCATTCGGCATTTCCTAACAAAATTAATGTTTGGTCTATTGATGCATACTATGATCCAACATAATTCAAGATGAGTTGGGAAAGATTTCAAATAGAATTGAGGGAAAAAATGTAAGATTTGAAATAAATTAAGAACTGAAAATTAAAAATTGAGAAAAAAATAGAAAAAATTAAATAAAAAAATTGTCACAAATAAAGTTTGATACGTTTAAGATGATAGTTATAATAATTGATAAATTCTTGATAAGATTTTTTAATAGAGAAATATTATTCTCACTATAACAAAAATCATTAAATTTTTTTTCTTAATTCAACAATCATTAATACAAAAATTTAGGATTTTTTTGCACTTATTTTTGTTTATAATAAAAGGAAAATAAAATCAAAAGAATTAAAACTAATCAGATATCAAATTAATGATCTTGACTTTAAATCCAGTTCTATAAAAAAATAATTTTTATTTTAACTCTGCAACCTTACACATGTAATCAGTATAACCTCCTCAGTTATTTTTGTCTTTGACGATTAAGTCTCTTATAAAATATTTACTTTCTACTATAAAACATCTTTAACCTTTCTAATCCTTTTTCTACAATTAAATCTTTAATTATATATTTACCTTTCTTCTTATGGCCTTTAACTTTTATATCCATATTTTTTCTCAGTATAAATGTATAAAATGTTCATATGCTATTGTGGTAAATATATGTTTATTGCATAGAAAAGATTTAAACAATTACTCAATCATTTCAAATTCATCATATCTTTCATTATTTATTATCCTAATTATACTCTTTGGTAAGTTGAGACAATATTAATATGAGCTAAAATTTGGAAGGCTTATGACATGTCCAATAGAAACAACTCCCATGAATTGCTTCTTACCTTTAAAATATAAGACAAAGATTTATGATGTCATATCATTTTTAAGTAACTCATTATTGATTTTATTCTATTAAAAAAATTTTAATAAATTTTAAAAAATTGATTCTCTCTTCTCGTTTACTTTGATTTTTTCTTATTTTTGTAAGTTATTTAATGAAACAACTATAAAAAAAAAAATTAAACATTGGTCATGTCACACAGGATTCTTATAGTGAAAAATTACTTCACAATTTATTAAATACTCAAATAATTACTATACTATTAAATAAATAATTTATAAGAAAATATCTCAAATAATCTTTTTTATTTAATCATAAAAATATTATTTTATTTTGATTTTTTAAAATTAAAAATAAATTGCAAACAACATATTCTTTTTTAATTTGTTTAATTTATTTATTTCACAAAATACATTTTATAAACATATTAAATGAATGCATGAATTCAAATTCTTCTAATTATAATATTTTATTTTTTTAATTTAGTTGTTTTCAGAATTGAAAAAATATTCACTTTTGCAAAAAATATTTATATTTAAAAATTTATAATGTAATAACACATTAATAAATATACAGATTCCAATATTCAAAATAAAATCATTGAAATGCATTTTACCACTTTTCTAATAACTAATGAAAAAAAATATTATTCATTACACTAAAAATAATATTTTATAACATGTTCATTAAAAGCCCTCTCTCTGTTGAATGTTCTTGTAATTAATATTATTGAAGCGTCTAAACCATCCTTAATGTAGAAAAGGGAAAAGTAAAAATTCTAACATCAATTTACATTACATTATCTTTTTATAAACTTATTCCTATTACTTAATAAAATAAATATTTATAAAATTATTAACTAAACTTATAAATATTTTATAATAATTAAAAATTAAATGTACTTATCTTCTCACCATGTCACACTAAATGATACTAGAGACTTAATTATATGATTATTTTGATGATATATAAATTATTATGGTATTATTTTATTTCACTTTAGTCATACATTATATTTTTTTTAAAATTTATTATTATTATTATTATTATTTTGTTTTAAAAACATTTAATTTTTCTAAAAATTATCTTAAAATATATATATATATATATATATATATATATATATATATATATATATATATATATATAATCTCGGAATGAATTGATTGTTATAAATGAGATAATTGACTATAAATAAAAATCCAGATGAATAGTTGATGAATATATTAATAATTATTATTAAGTTGTCCATAGTGAGTTCTTGATTCACTGGAAGAATAAAGTATTGAATTTATCTCTTAGAATAATTAATTACTGTACTTTTTGAATACTTTTATTGTTTTGTAGCTCTGATTTTGAACTTAATAAGTTTTCATAATAAATATTTTTTTATCTAATAATTTATTTCCATAATGTTTTCAAAGTGTTTTTATCTTATTCTTTTAGAATATAAATTGAAGATAAAAATTATCATTAATGAGCTTGTTAGAATTTCTTGTGTTTTAATTTGTAACGATCTCAATCACACCATATTCAATTTTTTGTAACATTTATGTGTTATTGTGTAGTGTATTTTTTTTATATAGATTTTGAAGAAAATATTGATGGTTAAATAGTAATATATATATATATATATATATATATAGAAATTTGGATAAAATAAAACTAATATAAAAATTTTGGTGTTATCTTTTTGAATGCTGTGACATTTTCTTTTCTGACACTAATGAACATTGAAATGACTTTTTTAAAACTAATTTTTTTTTACATTGTTTAATAAATATTTATAAAAGTTCATTCAATCGAAAAAGTTTTTGACCAATTCAAACTTTTTGCTGGGATGAAACCTATTCATTTTTATTTTTCATACAATTTTTATTTATTTATATTATGTAATCATATATTTTTTGTATATAAGAAAGATAAATATATATTTAAAAATCAGATATAACATGAGTGTTGTTTTTTAAAAAATAGAAAATGAATTACTATTTAAAAACTAAAAGAAATATGTGTTTTAAAATTTATATTTTAATTTAATTATAAAATATTTTCTACATGTTTATTAAACTTTATATGTATACATTTAAAAAATGGGAGGAAAATTGGTTAGGTTGTTTGGGTTATTTTTGTCGGTGAATATTATTTTTGTTTGGAACATGGTGAATTTTGAAATCAGAAAAATAGTGGCAATTAATAGGGTGGTGATATAAAACACAAGGCAACAGGGTTTGGACGTGGATGGTTCAAGCAGGCGACAACCTCGGCTCAGTGTCTCTGTACTGCAAAACCCCAATACCCTTTCACGCACCAATTATTTTTTTAATTTATTTATGCTTTTTATCAAGATTCACCCTCTGCCCCTTTGATTTCCATTTCACACGCGGAGAAAGAGAGGGAAAGGGTGGTGCTTCATTCTTTGCAGACGTAGCTATGGAACGAGGTGAGGGAGGGAGCACGAGGCAAACAGGGAAAGAGGGTGAGACCACGCGCTACAAAGGAATCAGGATGAGGAAGTGGGGCAAGTGGGTCGCTGAGATTCGAGAACCCAACAAGCGTTCACGGATTTGGCTCGGTTCCTATTCTACACCAGTCGCAGCGGCGCGTGCTTACGACACCGCCGTCTTCTATCTCCGAGGACCCTCCGCCCGCCTCAATTTTCCTGACCTTATCGCCGTTGACGGTCCTACCGCCGCAGCTTCGGACATGTCCGCCGCCTCCATCAGGAAGAAGGCCACCGAGGTCGGCGCCAGAGTCGACGCGCTCCACCGCCAGCACCCACATGCCCCCTTGGCCGGAGAATTTGTGGACCGAGTCGACCTCAATAAGACACCAGAACCTGAAAATTCGGATTGTGACTGGGACGGGGATTAGAAGCTTGTACTCTCTTCCAAGCACCCGAATGTTGGGGTGGTTGCTACCGTGCGCGGTGGGGGGTTACAGTGAGCAAGGTGGTGATGATGGTGACATGAGGCTGCTTTCTGTTGTGTGACTTGTTTTTTTGCTTTTTTAATTTGTATGTCACAAAAGGAATTTTGGTGCTGTCAAATTTTTAAATGTAAATTACTTTGATCATCGGCCTCCTCTTCCATCTTGCTTTTCATTGTTTAATTTTAAAGATATTAGATGGCTACCGCTCTTTATGAGATAAGAGTTTAGGTGGCAATTGAGAATTTGGGAAAAAATTACAACTTTTTAAAAAAAATAAGGGTTTTTTTAATTTGGAAAAAACAAAAATAAAAGAAAGGTAGATGGGTAGCAATGGCTAAGATGCTAAGGAGTAGGGTGGAAAAAGAGAGGGAGCCATGTTAACCACTCGAGTAATTAAAAGATTATTATAATATAAATAGTGAAAAGTAACAAAATTGGAAGTCGTGTGTTTTTCTGGTTTATGAGTTGTATTTGTGAACAGAAGGGACCATTGGAGGGTGAAGATGCTGTGGTCACTACTCTGTTTCGATGATAACGATGGGTGATGGATGGGGTCGGTTAATCGGTTCTGTCGTCTCAGATTTTTGTCTATTTGGAGTCAAATCCCGGATGACAATTGCTTCCAACAAAATAGCAATAGAAAACAAAATGAGAAAAAAACAACCGAAAATGTAAGAAAGTGATACAGCTCCCATGTGAAACCGAAATTATATTTAGCTCCTTGAACTTCCAAGAGAAGAATACTGTTTTCTAAATTAATTAGCAAGGATCTCTCCCAAACTGTGTAAGAAAAAAAAAACTCATAAAAGATGGTAGGTTAAAGGGGAAGTAATTTAATAAGAGTTTGGTTCGGAAATAATAAATTTGTAAAATATTTTGATATTTTGATCTGATACGTTGAATGTGAGGTATTGTGGTTTGTATGTGAGCTGTGTTCCATGTTTGGTTTGCTAGGATCAATAAATCTGTTCAAGACGCAGACGTGAATGAGTGGATGATTGGAAGAATTGCATCATGGTAGACGAGAGAGTGGGCATTGATACATGAATGCATGTTTGGTTTTGCGTCTCGAAACAAATCCACATCTGGGCAGATGTTACAAATAAAAGATTCTGCATGACGTGAAAATGTACAAGAGGAAAAGTTAAAAACGCGTGTCCAAACCCACTAGTAGAAAAGCTAAACACCAACTTAACTTGAGATATGGTAGATTCGTCAGCGAGGGTATAAACCAATATAGAGAACTAAAAAGTGAAGACGTATGACAAGAACAGGACCTGTTTAGAAGACAAATAAACTGTGGAGGGACGAAGACATTCTTAATTAGCTCGCCCTTTTCAAGAGATTTGTCTTCCTGTTAATTGGTAACATGAGACTATTTTCGTACAGAGGAAGAATGAAAAAAATTAAATAAAATATAAAAATAAATATTCATAATTTAATGACTTAAATTTTTTATTTATTAAGGATGATATTATATTTTTTTATAAAATAAATTTATATTACATTAAAGGTAATATCATATTTTTTTTATATGATAGATTTATATCATATATTAAAAACTTTTTTTAACATTGCATCAGGTAAGCATATCTTGTATAATAAATGGTGGTTCATGAAATGATTACTGTGTTTGAAGGATATATTAATGTGATGTAAAAAAATTTACTATTAAGAAAAAAATGGTTGAGTAATTTAAAAATGGTTATGAGTCTTATATTCAATAAAAATGAGAAAATAAATAATAAGAAAAAAATTCATTATTCAATATCTTAAGATATTGAATTAAAAATAATATAAATTTTTTTATATATTGAATCCATATCTCATTTATATTGTCTCTTCTAGGTTAATCTTTTCTCAAAATTACTCAACAATCAAATAAACTCATAAATAAATATTTAATTAATATGTTGTGTTGAGAAGAGTTATAAATCCCGCTAAAAGCAATTGTATTGACAATTAAAAATAAAAATAATATTGCAACTCTCAATTATTTTTCTTTTTTTTACCAATATGAAATCATTTTACAATTAATCCTTCTCTGATCAAACCAATACTGTATCTAATTTCATACCACAAACTTCGTCAACGACAAGCACGGCGGCTGAGCAGGATGACAATGTACTTTATATCTCAAGTTGGAAAAAAAAGGAAAAGTATAAACAGTTAATTTTTTTACTTTAAACCTTGATTATAGGCAATAAATAAAGAAACCCAAGATATTGCGGTCGCAATTACTACTGATATAAAATTATGTGAAAACATTATGTCTGGTTCCGATTTAGCTTCGATATCAACAATGCTATTTGTCACGATTAATTCGTGAAAAACAACAAGAAATGAATACACCAACGTCCACCTATTTCCATAATGCGCCGCTTTCACATTTTTTTATAATTGAATTAGAAAAGAAGGAACCATTTTTCAGCGTTAAAATAAAAAATAAAATAAATTGTGAGTTATTTAGTATTCTTCAGTTGCTACGTTCGCAGCAACATTCAAATTCACATCATTTTAAATAAACATTATTAGCGCCAAAGGGCCTTCACACTGTCAGTGTCTGTCGCAGCTCGCAAATTTCAAACATTCCACAGAAAGAATCATTATTTCTCATGGACACGAATTATTATCCACACATGGCAAAATTTAAAATTTAAGATCTACCGCATTCTTTACCAGTTATGGGTTATGACAATGGCTTCTTTATTTAGTAACAATAATTGATAACAATTGGCTCTTTATTTTTATATATTAACAAATAGGCAAATATTAACCAGTGCCTTGGGACACTAGAAATTAAAAGATTTTTCATTGGGAATGCATAAAACTAATCTCCTATGACATTTTAACAAAAAATGCCTCCTTTTCGTTTACTAGTGCTTTTAGAACGCTAGCTAATAAGATTCTAACATATATTGGTGTTACAATAAATAAGATTCTAACATATATTGGTGTTACAATAAAGTCGTTACTCGTGGATTTAGAATTTCCAGGAGACCGTTGGACCCCTTCCCCGAGGGGCACTCCCTATAACGTACACGCATAAGAAAATCTCTTTTATGAACATATAGTCTGTCGACACAACCAATCAAAAGTTTTACTATTATTTGAGTAATACACGAAATTTAAGCATGCAAACTACAAGCGTTAGCCCAATTTAGTCCATAAAATTACCAAATATTAGTATTTATTTTTTAGACTAAAATGATCTTTTTTTATAATATCAGTAACTAAAGTAACCTGTGCTCACAATTTTAGAGAATAACCATATTATTTCAATAATATTGAGTTTTTGATTGGTTGTATCTGTAGGCACTGTACTCATGCAAGAATTACTCATCTACGAACCGTCTTCTATGTACTTCCATTCTTTCGTTTTTCGCTAGCTCGTTTAATTTGAAGTGCGGCCCTTACAACATTTCCTCTTGTGATGATCCCAACCTTCAAATCATTAACAAATCAGGCCTAGAGAACCTGAAGACAGAAAACCGACCAAATATAACAGATTTAAGAAGTCTCTTACCAGCTTACCCTCGGCATCTTCAACTGGTAGTCGTCGAAACTTTGTTTGCAGCAATAACCTATAATATTTTAAAAACGTCATCATTTTAGGTGGCAGTAAAAAACAAGTTGAAAGAGAAAGGCTTAATGATATGATCAATTCAAGGGAAGATAAAAAAAATATATTGAAGAACCTAGCTGCATCTTCAAGATTGGATGTCTCCTGAACAACCATAGGTGTGGTGGTCATTAATTCGCCAATCAACTTCCCGTTGGTCTTGCTCAGAAGTTCCTGAACCTCATTGAAAGTCTGCAAGACTTCATAGAGTTAATGACTTCCACATTTGATAAACTAGGCACTTATTGAATAAACTGATTTTTTTTTTTATCTTTCTTTATTAATTTGAGCTTGCTATCACGAGGCCACTTCAGGCACTTCAGGCCCCACTAATCTATAAGTCAAGTGGACCCATTTAAAGGGATAAAGCTCTTAGTACCTTTGTCTTTTCAATATACAAGACTTGAGCTTGAGACCTTCTAACAGGAGCCAAACTACTATTCATTTGGACATCTAACAGGTATAAGTACAGGTAAGATGGAGACTTCATGAAATGGGACACATACTATGCTTCTTAGATGACCATGCAAATGTTTTATTTCCTTTTCCATCCACATTAATCTGTATCTGGCAAATGTGGAGATTTCTCAGATTAATTTCATCAAAGATACCATTACCTCCACTAGAGGTCTTCAACCTAACTGGGATGCAACATAGGATATGGGAAGGACTAGCTGGAATACTAAGTTATTTTTCCACATCATTTACCAGAAACGGCAAATAGCTTCACAGGCAAACAGTTAACTTAGTTATTCAAGTAAATAAGCTTTCCTGGGGATAATAAAATTACCACCCAAATGCATTTAAAATATTAATGTCTATGCAAAACTAAAACTGTATACAAAAGGAAAAGAACAATGACATCCCTACTCAACCAAAACATTTTGGTCAATAAACCTTTTGCTATACCAGTATCCCCAAGGTCCCTATTACATTCTTTTGTGGCATAGAGGAGGCTAATGACTGGTTGTGATTCTAAAACAGTAATATGATGCCGAGGTGATAGCTTTTAACCAAGATGCACAAGTAACAAATTAATGGTCTATTTCAAATTGAAGGCACCGTAACACACTCCATGATCTTGCCAACAGAAGCAAACATGTTGGAAAGACATGACTGCAGTACCAATGGCAATAGATGGCTTTGCAATAACAAAGGGTCCTGAGACTTTTTTAACCTCATTCACAACTGCCTTCATGGTGCAGTTTATTTTATAATTTACAATGTTTGTATTGGATCAATCTGAACTCTCCAAACACTAGGAAATTGGTAAACACGCCCCAGACTCTCAGTAATTACTTCAACACGTTGACATCAGTTCTGCTTAGAATCCCAACCTCATCCCAAAAAGTGGGTTAAAAGTAAAAAAAAAAAAAAATTGACAAATGGGTGCCAAGAAAAATAGAACAATAAATGTAACCTCAAAACTTCATAAACAGAAAAGTCACACTCACATAAGAAAACACATGTTTCCCTCACCCAGATTATGTGCATTTTTTAAAACACGGAATGTAGCAAGTTAGATAAACTTTGTCAGATTATTCATTTATTTTAAGAGTTAGTGGGATAGAATAGTCAACTGTAGCGTTTTGTATTTCAAATTGCTTTGAATGCAGGTACAGAATGCAGTTACACATGAACTTTAAGGTCTCAGTATAAAATATCTCTTCAAAAAATTTAACTTTAGTAATTTAAGAGCTAAAGTACCAACATATACTCTAGTTTACCCAGCGTGGACTAGCATCGAAGTCCAGAAATATGATATGAACTAAAGAGGGAAGGGTTTCTCAACATACTCGCCAAGTTCTGTCCACTTCTGGAAACATGTTGTTATCATCTCTTGCAGGACCTTAAATCAACATTGCACATTATGTTAAGCTACAGGGTTTGACCAGAAAGAAAAACGTTGAGCTGCAGGACCTCATTATATACAGCACAAAGGCCAGAGTTTTATTTGCATGCACTCTTCATTTTGAATACTGTTAAGTTCTGAGTAAGGTAAAAGTCGAAATTTCAACAAATGAAATATAAATAGATAGAAATATCAAATAGACCACAAATGCCAAAGTATTATTTACATGTTCTCCTCACTCTTCAGTTTGAATAATGTTAAAATTCCGAAGGTGAAAATCAAATTTTCAACAAATCAAAAAATTAAATATTGTTTGTCTGAATTAATTTTTTACCTGATATAGAGTCCAATGCTAACAAGTCGTAATCGGAAACAACACCAACCTGCAGATTATCAAAGAACCATCTAAGTCATTTCCATAACAACAAATCTGTGAAATACTTTAGTGAAATGATCACATTCAAGTTGGCTGAATGAATGAAGAATGGAAAATTTAAAGAAAAAAATTAACATATTCAATGTTAAAGTGTATATCTATTATCGCGTTGAGTTCTCTATAATCATGTTAAAATGCTAGTTAATGTGATTTTACGTGTTTGACTCTATATTAAAGAATTGATTCTAAGTTCAATATTAATTCTATGTTGAAGCAACTTTAACTCAAGGTAGCTTTTGCGGTGGACCAAAAACTTATACTAAATTTCACTACTATTGCCTTTATAATAAACCCAAATATAACTTCCATAGTTTAAACCCAAAAAATCAATTATAACCAACATCAATTTACGCAAGTCAACATCTGCTCAAGGCAATATGGCAAATCATAATCTCCAAAACTTGTTTAATGAGGAGTTTAATTTTTCACTAAATTATAAACTAAAAAATTATTTGACAGTAGAGTGCAAAGCCATTAAGCTCATAATCTTATTCCTTCAAGATTTATTTAAGAAAGCTCAAACGAAAACCAAGGTCTTTTATTAGAGACAAACCAACACCGTATCAGCAATTTCAAAATGAAACATTAGAATGGTTAGGAATGACTCACCAAGTTCCATTCATCATCTATAACAGGAAAACCAGTTACTCTCTGTTCAACAAGAGTTTCCAGCGCTGTTCCAAATTTGATAGCAAGTTAAAATTTTTACTTAATAAAAAAAAAAGATGACACGAAACAAATTGAGAATCAGTAGCACCTTCATCGACCGGTGTAGTAGGCTTCACCACATGTAAATCCTCTTTCCTTGTCATAAAGTCACCAACGGTATAAACTCCATTTGTTGGCTGCATATAATGTGCAAAATGCGGTCAATAAATTGAACAATTTCTTTTAATTATTTCATAAAACGAAATCGTTGACAATAGTTAAGCTGTGGAAACAAAGCAAACTGAACATGCAACACCGGTTTTGTGTACAATATTGATTCTTCCTGTCAGAAAAACAAATCGATCACTCAATTCATCGTTTACTAATAATTAAAATTTGGAATACCGGAAAAGAATTAGCGACGAGGGAGTTGCCAGCAAACCTAGGAACTCGAGAAGAGAGGGAATTGCCGATAGCAAACCTAGGAACTCGAGAGGAGCAGAGGAAGCACCGGAGATTAGCTTGGAGGGGAGGTCTGCGGTCGCGAAGGGTGGTGGCAACAAGACCTGACAGAGATAAAAATGGAACTTCAAGGTGGAAAACCGAGTACATTTTCAATCGACTCAATGTGACTCAGTGTCACAGTACAGAATTTTTTGCTTTTGCAAAGTTAGCTGGGAAACAAATATTTGGTTGTAACGAGGTAGCAACAGTAGTACAGTGTGAGTGTCTACACTGTTAGTACTTGGGCCGTATAGCCCATCTAACTAGTGGGCCATTAACCCGTCCAATCATTGAGTAGTGCATGCAGTTTACATTGAATAAGAACGCGTGCCGATATGACTGTGCGTGAAAAAAACGGTTATTTATGCTTGTTTTTGTTCATGAAGAGGAAGAAGAATTGAAAAACGATTTTACACTTGAACTTCATCAAACCAATTTTTCAGAGTTGGCGAGTCAAACTTTAACTACTTTGACTTTAACTATATTATTTTAAAAGTGTTCGTTTATTAAAATATAAAATTATGTTAATTATTTATAATAATGAGTTTATTTTCAAATATTTAATTGTCATTTGCTATAAATAAAATGAAAATTTTTAGTTAAAATAATTCAATTGCTTTATAATTTCCTAAATTTATAATATCATGGAAAAACCTTTTATTTTATAATTTTATCAAAAAAATAAAATTTAAAAATACTTATTACGCTTTGAAAACTATTTTTTATTAAGACTTACTAAATACAAATTAAACATGTAAATAGAGTATTATATTAAAGTACACAAACTAGTTAACCGCAAAGTTTGATGATTTCATACAATATATATTTAATAATCTTTTGTGATCTTTAAAAAACATAAAAGAAAAAGGTTATTAGATTACACAAACTAATTTATTAATTAATCACAAATGTTTGGTAATCTATTTTATGATTTACGTTTACGTTTAATAAGTTAGTTTATGGTAATCTATTTTTTTATTTATGTTTAATAAGTTAAATTATGTCTATTATTTCTATTTTATTTTTCTACCATATTTTGAATATTGATAAAAAAGTTAAAAAAAGAGAGTTATGAATTAGATTCTTCACAACAATTTTAGTAAAGAAAAAAAACTACATTCTCCATAAATTAATATAATTTATGCATTAGTTAATTCGTATAATATTTTCCATATAGTTTCTTTAAATTTGTAAGTTATAATTAAGTTTATTACCAAAAAAAAAATCTCCATATTATCCTCTTCCATATTCGGTATATGAAGATATTATATATATAAGTTATGCAATTTGTGAGACATAATATTTAATTAATATTTTAGACCATTAATGTCTCATAATTCTGTTTATATGGCAGGATAGTTTCTTGTACACCAATATGGTACCAAGCAACTCTTTATACCAGAATAAATGACAAAAATCTCTATCAACTATTTACTATTTGATACCCTTATTTATAGTATTTGGGTTACGATGTAAAAGTCTAGTTATCTAATCAAGAGATTTCACAACTTAATAATTATATTATACTCAAATAAAAAATTATTATCTCCCCAAGTTATTTAGGGTTATATTAATTGTATCAAGTTGATTGCTATTTTATTTAAAAGTTTATATAATTGCCACTTTTCTTAATTTGATAAAAGTAAAAATAAACTTAAATAAATCGGATCATAATCTCTAAAAGTAAAAATATATTTTATAATGACACTTTTATGTTTGTGACTACATCCTAGTTAACAAATTTTTAATACAAAAATTATTTAAGGAAGTCTACCACATCTTTATGATATTGTGGGTGAATCTGTCATACAAATTTTCATTTTTTTAGATAAAAAAGATGACTTGAAAGTAGAAAAGAAGGGGAAAAGAATAAAAAGTAATTTTTTTATCAAGTAAAAAAAAAGTAAAAGTGAGATTTTTTTTATTAAGTAAAAGAGATTAAAAAAATAAAAATATTACAAGAAATAATATTGATTTAATTAATTAAAAAATTAAATAATACGATAAAATAATTAATGACTAAAACACTGTTATTGTAAAGAGATAAAAACATTTTTCAAAGATAAAACGGGCATTGCACACATATACATTAACTTTCGTTGTCTTTCCTTTATAATAAAAAGGAAAATATTGTGCAACAGGCCTATGATATTTATATGTAAATCGTTGCATATCCCTTAATTAAAATACACATTTTTATGTTGAATTCACTCATTGGATTCTTTGTTAGGGCAATGTTCTTTAGAGTTGAAGGGATGATATCTCTCACACAAAATTTTGTAATTTATATATGTATTTATGTTTAAGTCATTTAAAAATATCTATTTATATATTTATAATTTTTTCTTTTTATCTTTTCATTTTTTTTTATTATTTATTAATAATATATTATTTAATCTCAAAATTGATGGTAAAGAAATGTCAACCTCTAATGAAAATTCTTTTTGATCGAGTCTCTTGTTCCCTACCCTTGGATTTGCAACCACACTCACGAAGCTTAATAAAAAAATCTGTACCGAAGGATTATCAAATTTTAACGTTCAAAGAACAATTTTAAAATCATATTTCAGATAAAAAAATCACTTAAAATATCTCTCCAAAATCCTTACTCTATTGCTTACATACAAGAGAAGATGATAAGAGAAAAGAGGAAAAGAGAAATAGAAGAGAGGAGGAACAAGTTATCCAATATCACACCCGACATTGATTATTTAAACTTTTTATCAGCTGTGGAATTGATATAAGGAAAAAGAGAAGGATTAGCTCATTAATTTTGTAGAGAGAAGAGAAGAAAAGGATAATGGAAAATAACACTTATTATTGTCTTTCTATTTATAATATATCTTGGAACTAAACATACTTCTCACTTAAAATATAATTATCATCTCCATTTATATCTAAAACTATCTCGCATACATCAAACGCATGCTTTTAATTGTGTTAATTAAAATATGAAATATTTATTAAATTTAATTATCTCTTTTAAAATAGTGTATAGATTTGTTAAAGACAACTTACAATCTTAAATTTTGGGTAAGAAGCATGTTTATATACTGTCTTAAAATTACTATAGTTTTAAATCTTTTAAAAATATTTCAAATGGATTAACGTTCTAAATGTTCACATATTGTTTTATTTTTAATTTATTCTTAAATTAACTATAATAAATGCAATATATTTATTAAAAATAATATTATTTCAATAAATTTATTATCAAAGTGATACATTTATTCTTATTCTTAATATATAAGTAAAAGCTTTTTGGAAATGGAAGATAAATATAATAATGTCCAATATCACATGCCATACAAAACTTTTAGATGTTTAGATAATGGAGTCGTTAAAAAATATTCAATTTAATGCATATTTTGTGGCAAGGTATATAAATTCCGTGAAGGAGCCACCTTTTTCAGCTTGAGATCGTGGATTTCTAAAATCGAAAAGGTTCTAGGAATGACTGGTTTATTTAGATAAATGAGAAAATCTTCCAAGTTTCAACATGTTAAGATCAGGTTAACTATGCAATCCCAAGTCTCACGAACTCTTTCAAATTTTAAGCAAAAGTTAACTCATGTACTTTTTTCACTTAGGTAACGTAGGGTCAGACTTTTAATTTCTTTCTGAAATACTACATTTCTGGGACTACTTCCAACGTAAATACTACATTTCTGGGACTACTTCCAACGTAGTATTACGTACAAAACATTTGTGTCTTGTCTCAGTAACGGAATCTTTCATGGCACGATATCAAGGACCCTATGACCATGTGTGGTACAGAGTTTAACCCTCATTCCTTCATTCTGCTGAACAAAATTCTAACAGCACAAAGTAGGATTTGTGTATGGATTACTCGTATGTAACGTGCATAAGGAAGAGACAGCTGGCGGGAGAGTTAGTTGAAGCATCTGGACACGTGGCAAATGATACAGAAGTAGTGGAGATCAAGCGCAACACTCGTGAAAGGAAACACAATTACAAATGAAAGGATTACGAATGGAATTGAGAATGGAAAAACAGTACTATACACTCTCCTCTGATAAAATTCTTTTCTATCTGACTTTTAGAATCCTGATTCCCTCTTATCAAATTTCTTCCACTAAAAGATATTAATTCTTATTTTTCAGGTTTCTTGCGTGCTCGGAATACTAGAATTTTATCGGTTAATGTTGATTTCGTTGTACTCTGTGTTGCTGGATTTGACATTTCAATTACAGATTCCATAAATTCCATTTACATTTCATTGGTGTTTTCATTGACTTGCATGACTGAGAATACGAGATTGCGAGATTTGCAAAATGTGGTGAACGCTCATGCTGATGACATTCGTCGCATTGGTGAAACAATGGAATTGCGTTATCAAGAGCAAAATCTTCGTATGGAACAGATTCAGGCTTCATTGGCTTTACTTTTGCAGAACAATTCTCACCTTCATGGAAGTTCTTCGAACAATGGTTCTCCGCTGGGTACTTCAATGAATGTTGCTTTTCCGATCAAGGATATTTCGTTGGGATTTCCGCATTTTGATGGGACATCATCGGTGCTTGAATGGATCTTTAAGGCTGAGAAATTTTTTACTTACCATAACACTACAGATGACTCTAGGGTGGATATTGTTGCAATGCATTTCGATAAAGAGGTAGTTCCATGGTTTCAGATGCTTCATAAAATGGTTGCGGTAAATACTTGGTCAGCACTGACTAGAGCGTTAGAATCACAATTTGGTCCTTCCCCATTTGATTGTCTCATGGCAGATCTGTTTAAATTGCAACAGTCAGGTTCGGTCTCGGATTATTACATGAAATTTATGTCATTGGCCAATCGATCTGTTGGTCTTACTGATGAAGCCTTGCTGAATTGCTTTTTAAGTGGTTTACATGTTGAAATTAAACGTGATGTTCTTGCGATGTCTCCTCCTACCTTGTTAAGGGTTGTGGCTTTAGCTAAATGGTTTGAAGACAGATATATACTTGTGCCAAAAAATGTTACCAATAATTGTATTCCTAGATATTCTCGTATTTCTTCAACTAGTCACAACTCTAATGTGCAATCTAAGCCTGCTTCTCAGACAAATTTACCTCCATTGTTACCTACTCCTCCAGGACCTCCAT